TAAAATTTAATATTATTATATTTGTTTTTGAAATTTATTCCTTCTATAAATATTGGTCTTGTAAGGCAAATATGGTTTTAAATTTTAAATATTAAAATCACGTGTCAAATTTCAACGACCAAAACTAAAATGAAGTTAAGGATCAGAAATTGTATTAATCTTACATTTTATATTAAATACATAAAGGAAATTATTATTTTTCTTATCTTTCATGATTGACACATCACTGCGGTTTGAGGGGCAAAATGGAGTTTAGCAAAAACGGGCAAACAGTAGTCTGTGTGTGTGTAGCACATCTCCAAGCTAGAGAGAGGATAATTTTTATTGAAACAATATTCAGAATATTTTCAATTCAAACTCTTTATCCTCATGATGAATTGGCCACCTATATCATAGTAATAAGAGAGAGAGAAAGTAAGGAGAAGAGTATAAACAAAACTTTAACCATATACTATTCAAGTCCCAAATATAATACCCTTATACATACTATAAAAAGGATCTTATATTTAGGACCGGAAGAGTATATAAGTATTAAGTGCCAAGTTGGCACAATTTGTTTGAGCTACAAGCTAAGATTAAGGTGTGTAATGGATCTGTTGGATCACAATGAGATTTATGTCTAGACCTTATTTTTTCAGTTTATAGTGAATATTAGGTAAAGGTAAGTTAATACCTTACTTAAAATTGTATCTGTAGAAGATTAACTGTTTGGACTATATTCTCTATAGTTCTATTTATAAGTTTTAAATTTAAGAAGGAGTATGATCCATTTTACAAGTTTTAATTTGATGCTTGTCTTAACATTTAATACATTTTTTTAATTTTGTCCTTAATTATTTATTCTCTCTTCTTGCCATAATTTCTCTTATCATATTTTCTCACATATTCTTTTTATCCATTTTTTCATTTATTATAATGACATATTTGGAAATAAAAGTATATTTCTATCTTATTTATTACTTTTAACTAATTTTAAGTAGTTTTTGTTATCCGTGAATTAGTTATTTGAAACTTATAATAAAAACATGAAAGGGGATATATTAACCCCTATAAACCCATGATTTTCTTGGAAAATTTTGATTAAGGACCGCAGTTGAGAATTTATTTCAAACAGCCTCCAAAACATTCTAAAATGTCACTGCAGGACCAAAGGATCAAACTGAAAATAAAATTAAGAGTAAGATTACAATAATACCTCTCATTTTTATTTTTTTAAAAAATAAATATTAATGGTCGTTGGAATTTTGCCATCGGCACTCAGGTGGCCCCCGCCAGAGGTTGGGGCTCCGGTGGCCGCTACTGTAGCTCTGGTGGCCAGAAGATTTTTTTTTCCAGATGTTTCTTATGAGTCGTTGAATTTGTATTGTAAATATCTTAATTGTTGTTGAAAATAGCTGAATTTCACTTGTTTATTTACATTCAAACACTTATATTTTGGATTGTGAACTTTTTGTGTTTCTTATGAATAACCAAATTTGGGTTGTAAATTCATGAATTTTTATTGTAAATCTTTAAATTTCACTTGTTTATTTATATTTAAACACTTGCATTTGGAGTTGTAAATTCCATTATGTTATTTGTAAATCGCCAAATTTTTGTTGTAAATTAATGAATTTCACTTGTAAATTGTTGAATTTTATTTATTCACTTGCACTTGGACACTTACATTTGTTTTATTATATATATATTTATTTATTTATTTGCATCATATGACTAAATGATTTGGTTGGCTTGGTGGCCACGTCATTTTTGGTGTATCCAAGAAATTATGGGTTTAAACCTTCCCTTGGCTATCTTATTTAAAAAAAAAATCTTCCGGCCCCTAGAGTCACAGTAGTAGCTGCCGGAGCTCCAACCTCCGGTGGCCCCTACCTGAGCGCTGATGGCCGAACCTCTAACCTTCAGAGGCTGGAACTCCGATGACCATTAATATTTATTTTTTTAAAAAAATAAAAATAAGGGGTATTATTGTAATCTTATTTTTAATTTTAATTTCAGTTTGATCCTTTAGTCCTACAGTAACATTTCAGAATGTTTTGGGGGCTATTTAAAATAAATTCTCAACTGCGGTCCTTAATCGAAATTTTCCCATATATAAATGTATATACGCATGTAAAAATCAATCACGAATTCAAAACCAAACGTTCCACATGTGTCAAAATCAATTATAAAATCAAAATTATGGTTATCTCGAAAGTTACCAAACACTCTATTAATGCCAACATCAATTACGAAGGTAGTAATTAATAATGTTTTATGAGTTACGTAACATTGCCACTTACTAACTAGAACTAATCATGATAAAAGGAATAAAATAGTAAACATACCCTATCATTGTTATTTAGAAGCAATTACATACTTAAGGGGCTAACCATAATAGAAAAACATTCGACCTCAAATAAGGCTATCATCATTAGAAGAAAAAAAAAACCTATATCTGTAATCATAGCTAACAAGGTTATAAAATAACACGCTTCAATAAATTATAATAGCAGTTTAGATTTGACTATATAGTCAATACCAGCAACAAACTAAACCTGCAAAAATTGCCATTATCACATCATGGATCCACAATAATTCAATCACATGCAATCTAAGGGCCTCAAGCCCACTACCAACACTCTAGTCCAATGTTCAGACAAAATAAACCAAAGATAGAAGGTATAATACGTTCACTAAGTCAAACGACATAAAAATATGAGAAGGTAAAACAAGTCCCAAATGAATACAGTTTTGATGCGTGGCAATATATGAAAAGATTGCATAAAATAAGGTCCAGAAGCTCTACACTGTTAGCTAGAGCTATTGAGCCTCAAGAGTCTTCCCTGAAGGTCTTGCTAACGTATTGTTTCCTGAAAATGGTAAAGCAACAGGAGTGAGACAACGTCTCGGTAACTAAATCCCTACCTATCACATACCCTAGCATGGGCAAGCGAGGTGTCAGGTGGGATACACAGAGTTAATAATAGTTGATAGACATCTATTTAACATTTAAACTCACAATAATCATATAAGACAAATATTTTCACTAATCTTATGCAGTTGATACATTTCAAAAGAAATAACATACTTTTTATTTATTTAAAAAAATATAAATATCAATGAACATCTCATGTCATATGCAATCCCTGAATCCAAATCCATCCTTATATTCTCCTTATTTCCGCTGACTGGACCCATGAGTTAAGTTCTTTCCATTTGACTGGCAACTCTGACAAGCTCACCACACGAGTGATGTTGACCGACCAAAGACCACAGAACACTCGGTGGACCATAGGTCCTCTCTCGAAGAACTAGTGAGGTGTCGCAGTCCCTCGAAGAACTAGTAGGACAATAATAGCGGCCAACCATAGAACTCCGTATGAAAGCCAATACCACGTGGCAAGTATATGAATATCAATAACTCCAATTATCTCCTTTTCCCACCCAAAATAGATGCACAGGGTTCAAAATGACACATTTATATTCATAATCAACCGAATTTCATAATAACACATCATAATCATGATCACCAATTTCTTACAATGCAAACTATATCAATACTTTTTAAAATAACATCCCACAAGACAGTTCATACGAAACATAATATACTTTTATAAAATTAGTTATAAAGCCGCTCACCAACTTCATACTAGAGCATGCAACAGATAGAAATTTAGTTACCTGGTTTCCTAGCTAACAGTCAAATACAACCAAAGTCCAACCTCAAAAATGCCATAATAGAGTTTATATCTACAAACGAAATTAAAATGTTATCTCTATAGTATTAGAGTAGACTACTCATAAAATTCTAGCCTCTAATTCCTCTTCTAAAAGCTTTAATTTTTACTCAGAATTCTAGCCTAAAAGACTTTTTTCTAAGGTTTAGAATGAAAATATATATATAATTTAGACTCGATTCCTAAATTTTTCTTACTTGATTATCCTTTAATTATTAAATTATATTATTAGAATCATCAAATTCATAACGTAAATAGACAAACCGTAATTTATAACTTTTGTTCTATCTTCGAATGACTTAGATAAATAGATTTAATATGAGCTAGGTTATTCTTACTACAGAAGTTAAACCCTTAATCTGACCGTTGAATTTAATTTTCTATCTATCATGATACTATTCTCCAAATTATAGCTTAATCTAACGGTGAACGAACTTTAAAATGCTAATTTACTATTTAGGACTTTATCTGCTACATCTAAAAAAATAAGTTAAAAACATACCTAATAACTTGTAACTCGGAGATGAAAATGATGATCCAACTGTTGAAATTAATGATTTGGATGTCTCAAATAGGCTGACCAAATTTCAGTCCGATCCAACGGTTAATAAGCTCAAAACTAGCACTTTTCTGAGACTATCTCAGATATGTGCGAAAATTATTTACTTACTTTAAGCTCTACCCACTATCTCCTATATATAGGCTCTTCAAACTCCTTCACTCTAAAGATTAGTCGATGTGGGACTTCGATACCATGGTATAATTTTCTAAAATATCATCCACACACACATTCACACACACTCACACACACAAAAACATTATTAAAATAATAATAATAATGAGGAAAGGTAGTATTCCTCCGGTCGTTAATATGAGACGAAATTGTTAAGTTAATTTTGATTCTAAATATAAGACCTATTTTTCATATTTATCAATTTTTTTCAAATTACCCTTATGAATACTTTTTCAACCACAACTAAGTAGATGAGGGAGGGTATTAAGAAAGATGATTATGGTGTTTTAGAAAAAACATGTCATATTTCTTATGATTAACTGATTTACTTAACTTTTTTAATCTAATTAAATTAGTTAAATCGGTCTTATATTAAAGAACAAAGGAGTAATATTTATCATAAACTTACACAAGCCAGTAATGAAAAAATCTAGTCACTGAATTTTCAGCTATCGAAGAAGTCTCGGTCGTAGGCGTGCCAATATAAATCATTGTACCGTCTTGTCTCCGTCTTCCTGTTGAGCTTTTCCTCTTTCTTTGAACCATAACCATCGTCCCCGCACTGATAATATCTACGTTGTCATGGCTTCACTTCTTCTTTCACTGTCCCTTCTCCGTCTTCTATCACTCATAATCATCTCTGGTAATATATATATATATATTTGCTCTCCAACTACTGAGAAAAGCTGACTCTTTCATCTCTGATATATGCAGCACGCTTGGTATTGGAAGCAGAAGCTTGTAATCTGCAGAATCCGACAAAGTTGTTCGTCTTTGGGGACTCGTATGTAGATACCGGCAATTTCGGGAGAGATAGGGTGGCGAGTTCCTGGAAACAGCCCTATGGAATTACCTTCCCCGGAGAGCCCGCCGGCCGTTTCTCCGACGGCAGAGTTCTCACTGATTTTCTGGGTATATGCCTTGTCTTTCATATATGCGTTTTCTTGGCCTTTCGATCTGTCACTTGTGGTCGGGCTGCTTTAATTGGTAGAAATTCTAGGACACTATATATAATTTGTTAGGTTAATATTATTATAATTTGATGGAATTTTAGTTTCAATCATTATAATTTTAAATGGTTGGTTTTGATCCTTATAATTTCATAATTTTTTGGTCTATATTAACAAATGGTCTCCATACTTAAATCAAGTCTTTATTAAATTAAAAATTAATTATGAGCATCAAAACCAACAATAGAATTAACAGATACTACCTCCGATGCTAATTATAAGAGTTAGTTGACTAATTTGAGGAAATTAAAAAAAGAAGTTAAGTTAGTTATTTGTCATAAATAAGTATTGTCTTTCCTAAAATATCTTTGCTAATCAAGTATATTGGCTAGAATTATCATTGTTAGAAGGACTATTTTAAAAAAAATATATAAATATTAAAGACAAAATAGATTGTGGTCTTATATTAAGTATAAAAATAAAAATCAAATGAGATTTTATATTAAGAAACGAGTTTGTATTATTTAAAAGATGGGGTTCATTAATTTCTTTGTTTGCTTGCTTGCTACTTTTCCTGATCCATCTGAATGCCTCAGAGTTCAGTGTAACTTTCTCTTATTTCCATGTCAAATAATTAGAAATACCCCCTTCTCTGTATTTCTCACGGTATAGTGTGTGTTTGAATTAGATGGATAAAAATAGATTTTGAATCAAAATAATTTATAAAATAGATTTTTAAATTATGATTTATAAAATTAACTATTAAATTAATCTATAATGATTTAGTATTAAGTGGGATGTTTCAAATCAATTTAATTTATCTCAAAAATATATTTTAGCATTAAGAGAGGCGTTTCAGTCATTCATAACAAAATCAATTATAAACAACTCTACACATGCCAAAATCAATTATAAACCTAAAATTATGATTATCTCATAAGTTACAACATTATCATATCTTCAATTTCATAATTGATTTTAATAATAGAGGTATGTTTGATAACTTATGAGAAAATAATGGCTTTAGGTTTTGGTATATATAGGAGTATTTTGCTCTTGGGTTGATGATTGATGGATTTTGATTTGTATATAAGTATTTAGATACTTTTTTTAAAAAATGTTGGTTTTACACCTCATATTTGATTATCACATGAATCCAGAAGTTAGCACTAGTTTAGAATCTAATCTGCATTACTAATAAAGCAGCTCTATCTCTGGACATGTTTTTAATGATCCACACATTGATAAATAATTTTGATATGTGTATGTCACTACTGTTGGGATATTGTTAAAAAAACCCTAGTTTTGACTCTCATAATTATTAGATGAATCCAGAAAGCTAGCATTTAGTTTAGAATCTTATATGATATTTAACTTCATTTTAACCCGCTTAAAGAAATAAGATTCAAGGAATCAAAACTATATGTTTCAAATTTAGAGGCTAAAACTAAAATAAGATCAAATTTTAGAGACTAAACCTTAACCTTTATGGCCATGGGTTCTATGCCTTTACGTGCAGCTAAGTATTTGGGAGTGAGATCGCCGATGCCATACAGAATGAGAAATTTGACGCCACAATATGTGAAGTACGGCGTCAACTTTGCATACGGTGGCACCGGCGTTTTCAACACCTCTTTTCCATACCCAAATATGACTCTCCAGATCGACTTCTTCCAATCTCTCATCGCCGACAGAGTTTACTCCTCCGCGGATCTCTCCAACTCCGTCGCTCTCGTCTCCGTCGTCGGCAACGACTACACTTTTTATCTTCAACAATATCGCACCACCGAGGTATATTTCACTGCCACTGAGAATAGTATATGCATGCTAAAGAGTAAAAACCCAAACCCGTGATCTGACCAGTTCGTGCATGTTTTGGACTTATTATATCGTTGCAGAGACACATCCATGTGTGTCCTTTGCGGGTTTAAGCCATATTTTCTTTCAAATTTCATTTTCACTCACATGTCTGCTTCATTTCCAAATCTCTGATTCATTTCGCTGGCCGGTGGGTTCCACCGTCCGGAAGAAAACAAGGCGCTCGCCTATGAGCATGTAGCTCCAAAGTCCAAACAGTGGACCCAAAGATTGCAGGGGTGTGTCAGTGTGTGTGTAAGAAAAATTTTATGTAGGTTAAAAATCAACATCTATATTTCTTTTCTTTTTATTGAATTCTTATAGTTTTCTTAATTATATATGTCAATCGATATATTTACAATTTGTTGGTTTGAAAGAACAAGGGTCTCGGCAGCTGATGATGTAGTATATAATTTATTTTTAGGTTAATATAATCCTTGGTTCCTCAAATTTGCTATCATTTTGGTTTTGGTTTCTTAAGTTTCAAATCATAAATTTTGGTCTCTCTATGAGCAAATAATCCAAGTTTTTATTGGATTATATAGACTAATATTTTAAATAAAAGGAAATTTGAGGGAAAAAACCTATATATAGTTTAAAACATAAGGGACCAAAATCAAAATCAAGGTAAATTTGAATGACCAAAGTTCGTATTAACCCTTTATTTTTATGTTGGCAACAAACAAAATTTTAATTTATTGTAATATTTTATTTTTTAAAAAACCTTTTTTTTAATTTTGTATTTGTGATAAGTTACATATCACTAAATCAACATCCACACCAATTTTAATTAACAGATTATGAGGATAGAAATTAATGCCTATAATTTAAAAAAAAATTGCAAGCACCCAATAAATAAGACAAATAGGCCTTCATAAAAATCAAGTGAAACTACAGATACAAATTGCTGAAAAAATTTTCATCGCAAAACTTATCATCCAAAAGTATTTGAAATTTGTTTCAAGGCTTTGCAACCTATTTTTAGTGCATTTTTTTTTTTTTTCAGCTGTATGCAAACACAAGTTCACATTAACAATTAGCACGTGGGTGAAGAGATATTACCAAAACAAAAAAAGGTCCAAAAAGAGTTTCACTAGCTTAAGATGACATGCTCTCGCCCACAGAAAAGAAAAGATAGCTTTGGACAATAAATTTTGCAATGGGTGATCTTTCAGCTATTTTCCCGATTAATTTTCCTGCATATAATGCATTATGACAGAGGCTTGCTTGTATATATCTTGATTTTATACAATCTCAGAACTGACATACATATACACACACATATATAACTGATACGTTTGCATGTTTTTGTATGGACGCAAATAGGTTGCGCCGGAGTTCATGGCGTCGGTGGTGAAGCAGACGGTTAAAAATGTAGCTCGGATCCATAGATTGGGAGTGAAGAAAATTGCAGTGAACGGTCTTCAACCAGTAGGCTGCCTCCCCAAAACGACAGCTTCATCCTCATTTTCGCTGTGCAACTCTACTCATAACACCTTCGCCAGGCACCACAACACCCTCTTAAGCCAAGGTCTGGCCAGATTGAAGGAAAAAGCCAACGACAATTCCAGCTTTGTCGTTTTAGACCTCTTCCACAGTTTCATGTCCGTACTAAACCATCCCTCCACCTATAACATGAAGAACCCGTTCAAGCCTTGTTGCGTTGGGATGGGCAGCCAGTACGATTGTGGAAGCGTGGACAACAAAACCCTGGCCAAGAAATACAGAGTGTGCGACGATCCCAGGTCGGCTTTTTTCTGGGATTTGGTGCATCCAACGCAAGCTGGCTGGCATGCCGTTTATAATAACTTGCGTTCCACCAATGCTCTTCAACAACTTCTTCATTAGTACTGGCTGGCCGATCTCTTTCCCTCGTGCAACTCAAATTAATAACGTTGCTATTAAGTTTATGTTTGTTGTCACATTCAATAAGATCACTTTACAGATATGTCATGTGAGGGTGGTGCGTATTCATGAATAAAGTATCCGTTTGGACTTGGAAAACCAATTGGAACTGTTTGGATTAACGTTTGCAACATATAAACATTAAACATGCGCTACTTATGCAACTTTTTGTAGTAGTGTAATTGCATTTTGCAAAATTAATATAACGAAGGGAAAATCCAATTCGTGTGGGATGTAATTTATGTTTTTGTAACCCAAAAACTCCTAAAATTTGACTCCGGGTTTAGTTTGACTTTTGAGGAAAAATCTATTTGACTAACATGCCAATCCAGACATAATATTTTGCCTATAAAAAAATAGTTCTTCAGCTTTTTAAATTGGCTTTTGAGAATCGAAACAAAATTCTGGCGAAGTTTATAATTATCTCAAAATGATCAGATATCCATGATAATTTATACAGTAGCATTTTAAGCTGTCTTTTGTCACGTCATTTTACATTTGAAGTCATTTCACTTGACTATTTGCGACGTCGTTCCAAAGCTTATTTATTAATTCCCGCATATGTCCCAATGGATAACTCGACTTGTTGGATGGTATGACTGAAAATTCCACCCCACTAGCTGAAACAACCTAGTCAATAAGATAATGACCGTTTCACTTATCACTGCAATTTCTATTATACACAATGTCGCTTAGTACAAAATATCTAAAGCTTAATTATACATGATAAATGGGCCGGCGGCAAACTATAAACTAAACGCACATTATGTCATTAGAATAAAAAAAAAAACAATGAGTTTTCTTAAGTATGTGTTGGTTTTTCTAAAATATATCATAAAATAAAATTTAGTTGGTAAAAAATAACCATAGCTAATTAATTCGAAATAGTCAAGAAAGATATGAATTAGTTTCCACTATCCTTGAACTTCCCTCACTTTAGAAAGTAGAGCATGATTATCATATACAGCCTAATTATGACGAATGAATTGACTCCAAGTCAACACAACCAATGCACGGCATATGCATCAACTGAACAGTATTTGGTCTACATATAGAAGACGGTGCATGTGTCTAGGAAGAATAGTCACAACCATTAAGTGTCTTATTTATCTTACATATAAAAAATCCTACTTTCATAGTAAATCCAGGCATATTGCGAACTAGGATGGTTCTTGTACTTGAATTAACGGTATCACCCTATAAAATGACTCATATTAGTAGTTACTCTTCGTCTTGACATTCTTTTACTATGCCTACGTACGTACATGTCACTTGGGATACATCTACCAAGTACATTATTCATCAAGTATCTCACTTAGATACTTCCCAAAGCACGATATACATACATACATACATATATATATAGAGAGAGAGAGAGAGGGTTTACAATGCCTATGCTTCACTTGAGCTATGTCAGTCTAGTGCATTATTTGTCAAGCGTATAACTATATTGCTGGTACTTAGTTTGGATGAGAAGAAAATTAGAGAGAAGAGTTTTTATTCATAGTATTCTCTACCCCTCTATATTTTCCTTTTTCTATTATTTTTTTCATCCAAACCAAGTCATAGAATCTCTACTGTTTAGTACAATCGACAGGAGCAAAAGAAACTTTTTTCTGATCAACATCATGCTCCACCTCAAAATCGATTTGAGCCACATTTCTGTAAATGGGCGTTCCATCTGTAGGAAGCATTGCAAAGCATATAACATCGTTGGATATGAGACGGAAAAGGTTCTGAGGTTTTAAGGCGAGGTTGGCTCCTGTAAAATGAACCTCAAAATTTGGGAAATTCTTGGAGTTAGCATTGCTGTAACACAATTTGTATTGAGCGTTCTGTACTATGAATTGGTCAGCTCCAATGGCTTGCTTCACCAACCTGCTCATAAAAGCTTGACGGAAGTATCATCAATGTCGTCCCAGAATCAATTACTATGTTCCTATTGCTTTCACCTGTCTGCACTGTCTGCTGTCCAACAGTGATACCTGTCGATGAACGGCCGTTTCACACAAAACTATTAGACCAGGAAACAATTCAAGATTATAAAACTAACTTGAAATGAAAATAAACGAATAACCTCAGAGTAAAACACAATACAAGTAGTACCTTTGATGAGAGCCTTTGTCGTTTGCCTTGGGGTTCCCAATTAAAAATAAATCCAAGTAATGTAATATAGTACAAAACTCGGGTCGTTTCACTTTGAGGAGCTTTTATTTGAAATCCTAAGCAACTAAGTATCAAAAATAAAAAATTGACTTGGAAAGGGATTGATTTTCTTTTTAATTAACTAATTGGCAAAATTTAAAAGGATGCAAAATGAGTAAATAATTTTTGGATTTTTAGTTTATAAAATGGATATGAATTAAATAAATAAAGAGAATTAACAAGTGACAGCAAATGGAAGAGCAATCCTCTAGCACAATGATTAAGGCTATCATTACTTCAATTAATTTGGGAGTTAGCTAAATTCAAAAGACTCTAAGGGCCACCCCCTAGACTCGGTTTAATTAGAATAATCAACACCAAGCCACCTTGCATATTAATTATTCACAATTAAACTGTTTCAGCACAATTAGCCAAAAAGAAAATCAAAGAAAAGCAATTAACATTTTTAGTCCAATAACCAAGCCACCTTGAATTACCACTAAATGTTCACAATAATTTCAAAACATAGTCTGACCCAGTACAATGTAAAGAAATTAAAGCTAATCACAGCATAATGTTAAATGCTAATCAAAGATTCCAACAACTACAACCAATCTCAATACAAATATAAATCATCACAGCCCATTCAAACATTATAAAATTCATTCTAAGACCTAGAAATCACAATTATAATGAAAGAAGTAAAGATTAGAAGAGTTGAAACTCCCCTTTGAAGATCTAAGTTCAAGCCATAAACAATGTTCTAGAGAATTGGAGGATTTAGCTACTCTTAACCATCACAACCACAGCTCCAACAAACCAATTCGGTTCAGCCATGAAGAACAAAGAAGATGAATGCTGGGATGTGATTTCGCTGTGGAAGCTCACGCTGAATCCTCTCCTTCACGCCGCTGGTTCGCTGCCTCTATTCGTGCCTCTCTTGCGTCCCGCCTCCCGCTCTTAACTGGTCCTCTTTATTTTTCTTTTTCGCCGCCGCACTGTTCGCTTGCGTCTCTGTTCGTGCCTCCCTTCCATCCGCTCGCTGGAGATAATGATTATTAGTATATTAGGTTGTTAGTGGGGCGTTTTGCTCCCCTTTTTTTTTTAAAATTATTTTTTTAAATTTTTTTCTTTTTTTTTCAATTTTTTTCTTTTTAATTTTCATTTTCATTTTTTTAAATCTTTCAAAGACCTACAAACAAAATTCAAGAATAAGGTAGCATTAATTGTCCTCAAAAATCAATTAGTCACAATTAAACCAAAATATGACAATTTTGCCCCTAAAAAATAATAATTCAAAATAAAATATATTAAATCAATTAACAATCAATTAAGGCCAAAAGAGACTAATTAAGTTGACAAAACCCATATAAAAGATATCAAAATATATAAAAATAATTGAGTTTGTCAACCTTCAAGCTTGAGGAAGTAAAACGAAGACAAGGAACCAGGTTTTGTGATCAACGGAGTGGACACAACCCCATTTTCCTGATATGGTTGCTTCTTCCCCGAACCTTAGTTTAGTTGTGGTCTTTGGACCGTAAGGACGAAGACAATACGAGAATTTGCGACCTACTTTACCCATTTGTGAAACTAACGACAAAGCCCCTTGATTAAGCCCAACAAGTCCAGTGTTGTTCATGAGGCACTGTCCTTTGTTGTTGTGTCCAAACCCAAACACCGTCCTAGGAAACGAAGCAGCTTGATCCAAACTAACTGATTCTGTGGCCAGTTCTCCCATAGTGTATGAGTGATCCGCTTACATATAAAAATACGTATACTGGTTCGATGTTCCATATTTAGGATGCGCCTGGCCTTGAACATGAAGTTGGGGCAGAGCTTTACAAGGGTCTGAGCCGCATGAGAGAGTCGTATAAGTGGCAGAATTTTTTGGATCAAGGAGCTGTGCGTGAGGGGGGCACTGGGGGCATGGTTTGCATTGGAACCAAACAAGGTCGCTTCCTGTGTCTGAAACTGTCCATCTCTCTGCAGGTGGAGTCCCAACAGACATCTTCATGAGGTATGTTCCATCGTTTGGGAATAGATTGGTCTCTACTGACTAACTTGTTTCAGCCAACGAAGACTGGCCAAAGCGATTAGCTCGAGACATGGAGCGCAATGCAGCTTTTTGAACTCGCTCCGAGCGAGTCATCGAGGAGTTTTAGAAGGGTGATAATGGCGAGTCACGATGAATGAGGTCGATGCTGAAACCTTTTGGGAGCTTATTATTTGTTGCAGAGACATTAATGGAAAAGGTTGATAGAAAGAGAATAAGGGCGAAAGAGAGGGAATGATGAAGAAGCATGTTTGAAGCTGAGAATAAAACTGAGCAGATTTGATGAGCACCGAAGGAGGTTGAGGTGCTTCTTTATATAGAAAAGTCTGGGTGATCTTTGGGTTACAAAGTGAGAAGTTACTATCAATTAAAAAATTTTCAATTTCTTTAAGATAAAAGCAATATATTTATTGATTTAACGCTTTTCTGATCCTTTTTAAGATAAAGTCGTAAAACTAACTTCACTCGAAGTTATTATCGTATTCGTAATTGCCCCCAATATTCTTTACTTACCTACTTACAAAATACTTCTGGCTAATCTTTATACAACAGGGTATTTTTGAAGTGATTACATCTTTCATGCTTAATTAATTACGTAGTTTTTTATTTTTTAATGAAGCTCCCTTAATTGTTTTTCTTCTGGAACTGCTAGACTCGGAAAAAAAAATTCTCTGCAATAAAATGAGTTGTCAATATCTTAAAGAGAGCCCAGCAAACTATACCTTCCATCTCAAATATAAAGCCTAGTAGGAGGATTTATTTTAATTTTAAATATAAGACTCCAGTTCTCTTTGCCTCTTAAATTTATAACATTTTTCCTTCACTCTACCCAATAATTATACATGTCAAAGGATTTTCTATCAAGGGAGTATTACACAACATAAGTACTATCTTCAATCATTAATATAAGATCTA